TGGGCCGGGCCGGGCCGGGCTAGCTTCCTTCAGAGGGGCTGAGGAGAGTCTCCCTGGCTCCCTGGAGGGGGGGCAGGCCTCCCATGGGGGGCACCTCCCCTGCAGTCATCCCGGGAGGCTGTTTCCTCTTTTGGTCCTGGCGGTTTAGGGCGGGTGCAGGGCCTCACCCTAGCAGGACTGTATCTGCCAAGGCTCTGTTCAAACAAGGCCAGAATCATGGGTTTTGGTGGCTGTGTGTTTGGGAAAAATGCCTTCCGCCAGCCGGGAGCCGTCTCTCCTCCTCTCCTCTTCATCCCCCACCCGCCGTTACTGCGTGCACTATGGGGCTGGGGCTTTGTCCTGTCCTCACCCGGGCCAGCCCCGGCCCGCCTGGCAGAGCCCTGGCTGAGGTGGGAGGGGGAGGGGGCTGCGGCAGAGCGGGCGGCCTCAGCGGGCGGGTCTCACTGCGGCTGGGGTCGGGAATCGGGGTGCCAGAAGTCTGGCTGCATCTCCTCGGCTGATAATGTCCACATCCCTGCATCGATCCTCCGCGGATGAGCCTCCCTCTCCCTCCTTCCCAGAGACGCTCGATTCTTGGAGGTTTGGGGAACAGATGCTCTGGTTCCACAGGCGGCGCGGCTCAGCCAGGGGCCGGGCGGCCCCCAGGCACGTGGCCCTTGCTGGGAAAGGCTGGAAGTGAGGTCCCGGGGTGCTGGGAGCTGCTCCTTGGCTTGGCCTGTGAGAGACCTTGTGACCTTGAAGCCTTTGAAGGACAAAGCCTTAGGAGTGACCCACGGCCATTGAGCCGGAGATGACTGGCTTCCTGACCAGGAGAAGCCGGAACCATCAGGGGCACTGGGCAGGCCGGGTGGGGCAGCAAAGCGGGGGGAGGTGCGTAACCATCCGGGGCACCAGGCAGGTGGGGGGGGCGGTGTGCTCCAGCTGCAGGGCTCAGGTCTCCCCCTCGCCAGGGCTCAGGCCTCCCCCTCGCCAGGGCTCAGGCCTCCCCCTCGCCAGGGCTCAGGCCTCCCCCTCGCCAGGGCTCAGGTCTCCCCCTCGCCCCGGGGGCTCAGGGCCGCTCAGGCCACACAGCCTCACAGCATTGGTGGCAGTACACGCCACCCTGCGGGGCTTTGCTGCCTGCTGGGGTGTGAGGCTGGGGCTGGGTCAGGCCTCCTCCACCCCCTCCCCCAGCGCAGCACACGGCACTCTGTATTCCAGAATAGTCTCATGGGTGACCATGAGAGCCCAAGTTCAGGGTCACAGCCTGCTCAGGTGTTAGCGGGGAATCCAGGACCAGACCTGACGAGTCAGCGTCTCCCAAGCATGAGCGCTGATGCCCCTCCCATGGCGGATGCCCCCCCATGTCCCCCCCCGCCCGTGACAGGTGAGGAGGGGGCCCCATGGGAGGAGACGCGGCTGGAGCCGCTGGCCCTGGGGTCCCGCCGTGACCCGTTCCCGGAGGTCCCGCCTGGGCCTCACATTGGGCAGCCTGCATGCCCACGAAGCCTCGCTCCGGCCTGGAGTGAGCCCCGTCCCCCGAGCGCCAGCTCTGCTCCCGGGGGGCGGGGGGGCGGGAGGTGTGAGGATGCCGGCCGGCACGCCCGGCCCCGAGGGCGCCGCTGACCGCTCTGCCTCTGCTTCCCCAGGTCCTCGGACTTTGGGACGTCCTACACCAAGCTCACCCTCCAGCCCGGCGTCACCACGGTCATCGACAACTTCTACATCTGCCCGAGCAACAAGCGCAAGGTAAGCGCCTGCCTGGGCGGCCCCGCGGCCCCGGCTCTCTGTAGCCCCCGCACCGTCTCCTGTCCGGCTGTGGGACAGCGGTCCCCACGAAGGTGAGGCGTCTACCTCCCCGCAGCCATGCTGCCGTGTCCATCTTGATGAGTGGGTTCTGGCCTCCGAGGGAGGGCCGCCTGCTGGCCCGGCCCGTGTATCTTCCCCCGCTGGGGGCCAGGTGCCTGCGGGGGGGGGGGGTTGGGGGGGGCTGCCCCTTGGTTCTTCAGTCTTGTCCATCCGGCGGCGTTCGTTCCTCATCTGAGCTCTGTGTGCGGTCTCGAGGCATGACGTGAGCGTCCTGGCTTTGTCCCACATGCTAGTTCTGAAACAGGGAGTCTCCTGCCCGTGCGGGTCTGCCTCCTGCCCTACTCGGGGTCCCGGGAGCGAGGTCAGGATGCGCTGTGCCAGACGGGTCCTGACCTCTGTGCCAGGCCTCGGTTTGCTTGTAGGAAGTTGGGGTGTAGGTCACTGACACGCAGGGCAGGGTGTGAGCTCAACCCCTTGCCGTGCTCGGCGCGAGGCCGGCCCCCATCTGCAGAGCTCTCCAGAGGCTGCTGTGCTGTGTTTTTCTGGGCTTGAACTCAGGACCTTGTGTTTTTTCTTGGTGTGTGTGTGTGTGTGTGTGTGTGTGTGTGAAACCACTTCCCATGCTGCACGTTCACGGCAGAGAAGGAAGCCCCCTCCCATGGCCTGTGCCACCCTGGCCCCACCATGCAGAGAAGGGAAGACTCAGCACTTGTGAGCTGCTCAGGAGACCCGTGAACCCCCTTCTATTTGTGTCTCTCCTGCCTTGGATGGGAGCTTTGGGACCCTCTGCCACAGACCAGGCCCACGCCCTGCCGCGCCCAGCTCCCCCGGGACCCGGCTCGGGCCCCCTGCCCCTGCCCCAGCTCCCCAGCAGCTTTGGGCTGCATGTACATCCGGGCTCCAGGACTCGAGCACCTGGGGGCTCGGCCCGAGGGACTGCCCGGCGGGAAAACACTTTCCAAAGCCATGTTTTGTATTAAAAATTCATGTGAATTTTCACTGGTGTTGGAATGAATACTAAAACTATACAACACATGCACACATGTAAAAACACTCACGTTTACACCAAAAGACAAAGCACCAACCTTCTGCATTGAATGGATGACCTGGGAGAGTACAGACCTCAGCATGGGGAGTCCCACACCACCTTACAGGGGAAGGGAGAGAGTCCCAGATGGACAAGCAGCTCTCAGGCCACACGTGGCAGGGGGGAGGAGTCAGGACTGCCAGGACCACCAGTGCAGCCTCTGTCAGCAAGCCTCCACCAGCACAGCCTCCACTAGCCAGCCTCTGTTAGCCCAGCCTCCACCAGCAAGCCTCTGTCAACACAGACTCCACCAGCAAGCCTCCACCAGCACAGCCTCCATCGGCTTCAAACAGCCTGCCTGCGGTTCTCACTGCCATTTCCATCCGGGGCCAGTAGACACCCCCAGCTGGGGAGGACGGTGTTTGAAGACTTTCAGCCGTGCGTTCTCTAGGCTCCACACTTGTCCTCAGCCAGAGCCCAGGTCTGTGTCTGCTGTGCTTGCCCGTATGAAACGGGGGAGCCCGAGCTCTGCGCTTGCACTGGGCCCCTCTGGCCGCCCTGGTCCGGGGCTGAGGCCTCACCCTTACCGTCTCTCCACTCAGATCCTGGCCTCGGAGACCACGGACTGCTCTCTAGCACTGTGCGACTCCCGGGCCGGTGGTCCTGTCCTCCTCTCGTATGGGGCCCATCCTCCTAGGTTTCCTGGTCCCTCTTTATTTGGGGCTGAAGCAGGGGTGAGTGTGGAAATCAGCCAACCTGCTCGATGAAGTGGGGTCTCCAGCCTGCGGCCGAGAGCAAAGCCAGGGCCTGGAGCACGGTGCTGTCAGGGAGCGGAGCCAGCTGGGTGGGCCTTCCCTTCCACCAGGCATCCCTCGGCGCCCCTGGGAGCCAGCGCCTGCCAGTCCAGGAGCAAAAATGGAGAAGAGCTAGACATGTCTGTGTGCAGAGCTTTCATCTTAGAAACAGAGCGAACCCCGAAACACCGGCCTAATGCGTGGAAGGCATCCCTCCCGGAGCCTACGGGTGACCGTGGGAGCCAGGACTGTGGGTCTCGGAAGGGAGCTCTCTCCCACCTGGGCCGGTCAAAGGCGGGGACGAGGCTTGGCCTCGCTCTCTTCTGAGTGTGATCAGGACCTGACATCAGGACAGCCACCATGGAAATGGGGTGCAGAGGCCCCGGGGGTTCAGGGAGCCGAGTCCGGAGGTTCGGCTCTCCTCACTTGCACACAGACACATCCAACTGCGCCATTTTTTTCCGGGTCACGAAGACGCCTCTCCCTCGGGGGTTGGAAGGGGAGGCCCAGCGGGGAGGTCCCTGGTGACCTGTCCATCGCGGCTCTGCGAGGGCTGTGGGTGAGGGACGGGGACCCCCAGGGACAGCCGCGTGCCCCGCAGGCCTTTGGGGTTCTCTCGTGTCATGAGCTAGGTGAGGGGCCGATCGTCGGCTCGTGTCGGCACAGGCCGCAGTGGCCCTGCACCCGGGACCAGGAGACAGAAAGAACGGAGTTTCCCTCTCCTTCTTCCAGAAGCTGGGACCCAACACGGTGGTCAGGTTCTAGGCCCAGGTGACCATCTGTTCACTGGGTCCTGGGGTGGAAGGCGTCCAGCCAGCTCTCCCACAGGGCCCTGACCCCTGGACAGGCTCCACCCCGGTCGTCTACTCAGCCGGCGCCTGCTGGCCATCAGCAGGGGCCCCGGCACGCTGACCTTGGCCACCAGCTGGCCGCCTCCTTCTCCCATGTCCACTGACCAATGGCTGCTGCCCTTCCTGGCTACCTCCACGGAGTGACATCTTGATGCAGTCCTCTGCTCAAGGGGCTGTGCGATTAAAAGCCATTGCAGGCAGGAAAGCCCATGAGACTCTTATCTCCAGTGAACCACCAGAAAACCGGAAGCGCTTGCCTTGAGCTGAAGAGCTCAGGGACAGCGCCCAGGCCCCAAGTTCAAACTCTGTAAATGGAATGCCCACACTGGGCCTGTTTCATGGCTCCGTGTGGATCTGCTCTGGGAAGTCACTGAACACAGTGGGAGACAGCTCCTCGTTGTCTCAAAGCAAACAGCCAAACGAGGAGCAGACACTGTGGGACCAAGAGACACCAGCCGTCTCCCCCACAGGGGACAGACGCCTGTCCATCGTCAAGGCTCCGGGCCCTTTGTCCAGCCCTGCTGTCTGCCAGGCACCGCAGGGTGAGAGGAGAGCAAGGGCCGGGGGGACAGGGGGACCTGGGTCCAACCCCGGGGCCTGCCGTGCGGGCTCTGGGCTTCCTTACTCTCCACGTGCCCTGCGGACTGGGGTGGTCAGCCATGGGGAGCCGAGCTCAGCAGCCAGGGTGTCAGCGGGGGCCGGGCTGCTGAGGGTCGGGGTTTCGGTCAATCGGGCTGCGTCTCCCCTGCGCTCCAGCGCGCGGTGAGCTAGCCGCGCCACGTCCTCGTTTCCATGTTGCGTTAAGTGGTCACGGAGGCCGGTGACCGCCCAGGGAAGACCACCTCTCAGCGTATTGATTTCTGTTTCTGTGGTTTTTCCACCACACACTGTACTGGAGCCATTAAACAAAACGTGACAGCCTTCCTTAAGGAAAGTGGCTTTGATGTTGCGGATCTGAATCTCTGGGCATCTCCTCCTCTCCTTCCTCCCTGAGGAAGCATCTGCTGATGCTCAGGTTTGCGGGGCCGCCCCTCCTTGGGAACCGGCAGGCATTTGTGTTTCCGCCATTATGGTCCAGAACAAGCAAGGACCAAGGGTGCTGTGTGGAGACGCTCGGGTTCTGGAGGGAGATGAGGGGGGAGGGGGTGGTCCTGGTGTAGGGGAAGTGGAGGAAGCCATGGTCCCCATCAGGGTGGGGGGGGACGCCCGCTGGGCAGCTGAACCCTGTGGCTCTGGCATTGGTGGGGGGACAACGTGGGCGAGCTCTGCTCTCTCTCCCGGGCAGCCCCTCCTGCACCGCCCCCCCACGCTCCCCACCACACCCCTGCTTACTCTACACGATCCATGCATCTGCTACCCGCTCCCCAGAGGAGACTGTGATTAGGTGTACAAATAAATTGAACTACACCCATGACAGCGGCGGCGTGTGATTGCTGGGGTGCAGGGGGTAATGACCCGTGTGATTGCTGGGGTGCAGGGGGTAATGACCCAGGTGATTGTGCGCAGTGGTGGCACCGCCCCCCGCCCCGCACGCTGCCGCCGGTCACGGCTCCTGGCGGCAGCCCTGCTCCACGCAGGTGACAAATAGGCATCCGAGGACAGGGCCGAGATATGATTCGGATTGTCGCGTAATTAGAGAGCAATTACGGATCGAGTCGTCCCGTGTAAATTAGCCATTAGGTGTCCTCCTGAGTCCAGCTGGACTTTGCATGAAATGCAGCCTCTCCCTCATGGCGGGAGCCCGGCGGGAGGGCGCGGCTGGGCTGGGCGTCTCCTGGCAGCGCACAGTGTGTCCACCTGGGTGGTGGGCAGGGTGGCGGCGTGTCTTGGACCTGGCCGCCAGGACCCTGGGCACACACCCCAGCGGGGCTCGGCATTTCCCCATCATCCCGGTCCTCAGTATTTGGGGTGTGGAGGAAGCTGGGGGCAGGTGATTTGTGACCGTGTTCAGGTGCACAAGGTGTGGGTGAGAGGTGGAGGCTGGGAGGCGGGAGGGGCGGGGGGGGCAGGGGAGAGGGAATCGGCCTAGCGGAGAGGGGCAGCAAGAGGCAGGAAGGGACCCATCCTCAGACAACACGGACTTCAGCCACGGCGCTGAGAGCCACTGTGGACACATGGAGAGTGGACGGTGCTGGAGACGGATGAGGACGTGGGGGGTAAACCGAGAGCCTGAGCCTGTGGCTGGGGGAGGCAGGAGGGGAGTCCACTAAGCCAGGAGCCAAAGCCTTTGTAAGCTGCCCACTGTCCTCATTTGGGTTGTGGGGGGAC